AAACAGGAAACCATGTCATGCCATGTCATGTCACATGAAAACAGGAAGCCATGTCATGCCATGCCATGTCACATGAAAACAGGAAACCATGTCATGTCGTGCCACGTCATGTCATGCCATGCCACATGAAAACAGAAAACCATGTCACGTCTGGCCATGTCATGTCACATGACAACATGCAGGAAGCCTCATGAAAGCCATGTCAAAGCAATAAACATTCTGAATTGACCATTCGAAAAACACCGCAGACTTCACCTACAAAAGCAACTGCAAGCGAGTGAAACTCCACATGACTTGTTTGCATGAGTCGTCCTGTTCAACCACAACCTCTCGACGGCTCTCGACGGGGGGGGGCGTACCCTGAAGTAGGGCGACGCCAGCAGCTGCACGCCACATCTGTGTTCCTGACCTTGTCCTTGACTTGGCGGGCGGGCTCGTATGTGTGGTAAGTACTTAGCTCACTTAGCGTAAGTAGTTACAAATTAGATAGTAAGTAGCTTATATAGTTACAACACAAAGTAACTGATGCGTCATAGTTAGTAAGTGATGATAAGTAGTTGTCATAGAAAAGTCAATTATATCTTCACTTACAGAAGTTATATCTCAAGATAGGCTACTTCCTAAGTAGCACTAAGCAGCACATCCAAATACTAAACGCCTTGAACCTTTAAGTATCAATCAAGTTCCGTGCAATCAGTAGAGGAGCAATGCATAGACAAATGAGTAATAGAAGTGAGTGGGAAATAGGAAAGCCAAGCCCATCAAAACCCTATTCCCCCAGCTACCCAAGCTGGTTGAAACGAACAGGTGCACCTGCAGCATGGCTTGAAAGATTGGCGCGCGGAAGGTCAGCCCAAGCGGTGAGAGATCCTCCACTCCGGTGATTCCAAGCTCCTCATGGGGGCTGCTGTCGCCACAGTGGTCACATCGCTACTTTGACCCGTCACGCGGGAAATCGCGGGAACATGGTGCCCGATTTCACGCACAAATCCAACGTGCAACGCACAATTTGTTTGGTGATTCGACATTTCAATTCTTAGAACAACAGTTCCCCCAAAAAAAAGTGAAAACAACTAACCCTGAGAAGTGAGGGAGCGAAAACCAGCCCTCGCAAACGTTTGGGGCAACGTGTTTGACTCAAGAAGCTTCAACAAGCAATATGAGAGCCTCCAACACTCCCGCACAGAGACCCCCTGATGATAGCCACTTAGGTTCGCAAGATTCATTCAAAATGCTCAACATGCATTTGCCGTGTCTTGCTTTGCCAAGGGTCTTATCGCCAGAGCCCGCTTTTCTTTTTTTTGCCCCGAGACGACCGTCAAACAAAACGGCACCAACTGAGGTCTTTTCAATTTCTAGGGAACTTCGTGCTAGAGCCCACTTTCTGAGAGATCTCAGAGGTGCCCATTTTTGTCTCGAGACGGCCTTGAAACACAACGGCTTCCTGCATCGACAAATCATTGTTGCCGTGTCCCGGTCAAAAGCCTTCTTGCTAGAACAACCTGCTCCTCAGACGTATCCTTTTGGTGCCCCGAAACGGAACCTTGGTGCCCGCAGTGCTCATTTTTTGCCCCGAGACGGTCTTCCAAACACAACGCAAAAAGGCGGGCTTTTCTTCGACTCTCTGCATCTAGACCTCTATGAATCATTCTATCTGTCCTTTCACGCATGGCTTGACCTCACAGCCATGACTCGACTAAATCAGATATGATGTCATGATACTGGAATCGACAATTTTGCCAAAGCACTTCGAAAAATGCCGTCATGCTCAATTGATAATGCCAAAAAAAAGCTACGTAGTGTCAATCAATGCATCACTCGCATCACCAAAGTCTTCATACTGCAACATGTCGCCAACCCTTTTTTCCTCTTCCCCAGCAGCCTCTGCATACCCTTCCAAAACCTTTCCTTCTGTTCGATCCCCAACGCAGTCACTTCCTTCGCCTAAGAGAACTTCAGCCTGACCTATCGGCTGGCTTTCCTAACAGCATCAAGCCTCGCATCTTCCGGTCCTCATCCAACACTCTGAGCGCCTTCCGTGCCAAAGGCCGCAAGCTCGGCGGAGGTGATGCACAAAAGGCAGGCAGTACACGGTGCATATAGCCCTGGCAGCACAAAGCAACAAACTGTCATTCCAACAAAACCTTCCCTACATGTCCCTAATTACTATCGTTAGTGTGGTTTGCTCATCAATGAGCCAAGGAGATGGAACCGGAGGCAATGTCAAGATTGGCGGGACACCTGGGAGCAAGCAACGGAAATAGCCACTTGAAATGCAACCAGTGCAGAAGAGCATGGACGGTCTCCCATTACCAAGCTCTCATTGGAGAAGTCCAGGAGAGGACGAAGCTCTTCAAAGACCTTCCAGCATCCCAACCAAAGACATCGAGAACAGCCCAAAGAGCACTACAGTAGCGGTGAAACTAGAAGCTGGGGCGGTATTGTATGATCTCCTAAATGTGCTGGGTGGCACTGGGTGGTCTTGCACAAAAATACCTAGCACTGCACCTGAGAGCACATGTCAAAGAAACAAATCTTCATTGGCCATTGATTTGCAAGTGTCATTTCCCGTGCTTTAAGTTGCTTCATTCTCCTTTCCAGTGCGCCTCAGCACCTTCGAAGCAATCGAATAAGACAGGAATACACAAGCTAGAAGTCTCCAATTGAACTTCTCGAGAAGCATCTTTCAGGATGAAGTCCGGGACCGAACCTTAAAGGACTGCTAACACACTCCCGGACTCAAAAAAAGCACGACATGGTATCGGGTTCAAAATGCTTCAAGGAGGAATGGTACTGTATCTGGGTCCTGTGTTGAGGCTGCCAAGCAGTTTCTGTAGCAATTGGCCTGACGAATGATAAGTGTCTTCAACACCGGGTGCGTGGTTAGAAATCCAACTGGTCTTGAAGTATAGTGTAGTAGAATCGTAGAAGAGTTTGCATGGATTCCTGACCCGGCTTTCCATCAAATTCGACGAGATGCTCATGCAACAATTGGCAGCCACGACGAATTTGTCCTCCATACCCGCCCCTCGCAGTAGTCGAAGGCTTTGCCTTAAGACCTGAGGTCAGTTGGAAACACTACAATCTGACACAGTCGAGAATGTAAAGAAATATAAAACAGGAATGCAAATACCTTATAAAGTCTCTTGTCCGTCTTGCGAAGTTTGCATCAAAAGCATCCCCGCTCTATTCCTTCCATGCCACAGAGGCCAACGCAATTTTTCCACGGCCACTTGGGCAGAAGCTACCATGCAGCGCCTGGTCAAAAATGATGAAAGTGCAGCCAGCCTTACCCTGCCAGCCAGCATATTTTACTGAGCGCGTTGGCAACACAATAATATACTGTAGACATTTGTAGACTATAGATTATCGGAGAGTGCTTTCTGCTTGTGCTCCTGGCGCCACATAATTGTCCAACCGTACCAACTGCATGAATGACTGGTCTCTTCGCGCTGCGCCGATAATGACCGATTTCAAGTCCGCAAACTCAGGCGGTGTATGGTGCACAAATGAAGTCACTAGCAAGTTATAAGTGTCAAAATTGACAGATGAGACCAAAGCCTCAACCTTGCATCAGTCTTCTTGAAACGAAGAATAGGTATCAGGCACCCGTCAGCTGGTGAGTTTCAGCAAACAGGGCCTCCACGGTTGCCTGCATTCGTGGTTTGCCGCCGCGTTCACCCTCAGCTGTCCACATAGGCGGTCGATTGTGGCAGTAGACAAGTAGTATGACATGCCGTGTTCAACCTCACAATGCAACAAGACTCAAATCATCTCAAATAACTCACATCATTGAGTGTAATTAAATACAACATAATGCGCACCTACTTGCGCACCTAGAAATGTGGTACATTGGTACATATGGTCGAATGGGTGAGTTTTTTCATTGTTGCTTCACAAAGTCACACACACACACACGACTAGAATCTGATGAAGGCGCTGTCCACAAGCGCTGCATCAGCCGTTGCTGTGCATCCTGCTTCATTGTAGTCATGACATGGAGCAGCCGATCAACGGAAGAGAGGAAGAATTCCTGGCACGAGCATCATGATGGCACATGGACCAGTGTTCTGATGGGTCCAAGCATTCTAAGAACTGGCAAAAAATTGATGAAATTTTGCACAAGCTGATGACCAACAAAAGCACACCCCCGCTGCTTCTTTCGGTGTGCAAGTGTCACAAGTCAAGCAATCGAAGCTATGCCTAGCTTCTTAATTTGGTGCTGCATGCGAACATTAATATACATGACAAACATGACTACCCGAATCAGGGCAATCCGGTCACTCCGTCATTGGTTTGGCATTGACTTGTAGGGTGTTGATTGTCGCTGAAGGATTGCCGCTTTCAACTCTTCAAAGGTGACCTCCTGGCCACGTGCGATCTGTCGCACAATCTCGCTGGCCTTCATCTCAGAGCCTCAAATCGCTGGAACCGACACTTCATGCAATGTCATGCAACGTCATTTAGGTTCAGAAGCGCCAATGTTGCATCCTGCTTCGCATCCTCAACCGCAACCCTCCTCCATAAGTTAAGTTCCCCTAAACATCTAGGTGCGAGCGCTTCTTCAAGGAAGCTTCCTCCGCCGCCTTTAGGGCGGTGCAGGGAGCTCCCTGAAGAAGCATGAGCCATCCTGCGTCCTAAGTAGTAGCTACTTCAGCTACTAGCGACTCCCTAGCTTCTATTAGCTACCTACCTAGCTACTTCCTACCTCTACTACCGGCCTACCCGCTCCAGGAAAAAACAATGCCAAGGCCTTCAAGGCACCGAAAGTGCCGGGGCCTTCACCGCCGGCTTTATCGGCTCCGGACCCACCACTTTCTGCAAGAGCCTTCTCCAACTCCGCCGCACCGAGAACTCCTCGATGGTCCTCACCAGCGGCGGTGAAGACCCGCCAGAGAGCATGGTCCAAAAGATCCTCTGCCAGCTCTGAGCAATGCGAGATCAACAGCTTGTGGTTGACTTTGTTTCCCTCATCATCTGCAAAGGCTTTCAATACCTCGAAGAGCCAGGTCTAATGCATACACCAGAAGCACTCCAGAAATGTCAATAGGCCAACATTACTTCAGGAAATTTTGGGGGCATGATGGGGCATGTGCTGGGGCAAACAAACATTGTAATTGTGATGTAGAGCCCACAAAAGTACTCCAGGTTAATTGCAAGAGACCTTTTCCATGCCTTTCTCCGACATTCCAAGCCCAGACAGTGCTGCCTTTGCCTCTGTCATGGACACACTGCTGCTAGGGTCGGGTATTTCGCCTCGAGGAGCAAAAGGCAAGCAGCTTCAAAACTTGTATCGGAGTTTCCTGCTTCACTTACCCCACCCACCCACACGCACACACTTGTCTAACTTAATAACAATAGCCGAGAGCAGCTCAGTGACTGGCGGCAAAGGATTGTTGCAAAGCAAGTGCAGCTCCAATCGCCGAGAAAGGCGAAGAGATTTGCTCAGAGATGGTAAGACCTGCGGTGATCTCCTGCAGCTTCGACTTGTGGTGCGACTTCCTTGAATGGCCAACAGAGCAGCGCACAAGCATTTCCCTCTCGTAAGGAACAAGATCTGGCAGTCGGGTTTGGTACTTTTTGCAGGGGTCGAGACTCTGCGACTCTGAATATATTATGATATATTAGGAGCAAAATTGTCCCGTAGAACAAGGACTGAAAAACATCTTCAGAGCCAAGATGCAGCAAATTCCCCAGAGCCTCCATAGGCAGTGGGACATCGTGCGAGTCATCTGCAGAAAGCCAGGAGTGTCGCAAACAGTCGGCGGCAGAAGGGCGAGCCTTTAACTCCCAGGACAACATTTGTGCGCAGAGAGAGGCTGAGGACGCAGAAGGCAACATCCGCCAGTCTGGCTCTGGTGGTGCTGATGCCATGCTCAGTGCAGAAGGCACCAAACGACCTCCTGGGTCACCATTGAAGGGATGGCGACCTGACAGCAACATGAAAATCAAACATCCGCAAGACCAAACATCCAGCAAGGGACATGGGCACTGGCTCCAGTCTTCAGCTTGGCTGGTCACTTTGTCGGGCTTGAGAGGAGGTGGGGCCGGAGGAAGCCCAGCAAGACCCAGGTCAGCTAGAACCAACTGCGGTGCACATTTTGCATCCGTCATCGCAGAGATGAGAAGACTGGTCAGGCGCAAGTCCCCATGGACCAGGCTGTGCGGCCGTAGTTCATGACAGTGACGGAAAGCTTCCAGAAGCTGGCGGGCAATCTCAGCGAGCCAGCCCACACTGAGCCCTTGACCAGTTTGGTGCCATTGCTGCAAAACGTTCACCAACTCTATGCTTTCCACAGGTTCGAGGACTATGTAGATGTTGTTGAAATCCTACAAGGTCCGCTGGCTCTCAGAGGTCACTACGAAAGGTCAAATACATTGACCCCCTGTCATTTTCATTATCATGAAACTTGAAACATCCTGAATCTGAATTTGCACTGATTTCCCTTTCAGGTCCTCAAAGCTTGCAATAACCTGTGGTATAGCTGGATGCTCTAGGCTTCTCAACATCTCCACCTCTGCTCTGACAAGATCAGACGGAGCGGGAACTTTGTCCTTGCAAACCTGTCTGCAAATATGCTCTTCGCGTGTGAGCCGGCTTCTGCACCTGGCCGCATTTTTAATAATATTGCAAGAATGCTGACAAGAGAATGAGATTGTTGGAGCAGTTTCACAACCACCGGCCCGCCTGTAACTCTTTCCTTGCATGCCGCGCGAATAAAACTCGAAGCTGCCATAGAGCTCCTTAAGCTTCTTCGAGCCACAATGCACCGTGCGAAGGTTGCGTAAGAACGCTGATGGGGCATATCTGTCTCGCATGTAGCGCAGGGCGGCCCCGATCAGCTCCGACAACTCGGCTGCCCCAATGACATCTCCTGGACCGTACAAGCTATGTCTTGCCAGTAGGGCTCGCCACCAACCTTGGCATTTCAAATCCTTTAAGTCCTCCTCCTGAGCTGTCTTCACTGCTTTGCGAGAGGATGTTGGAGAGGAAGCCACGCCAACTCCAAGCTCCAACAAGATTGTCCCTGGGCTTAGGTTCACCAACTCCTCCCAGCGCACCGAACTTCCAGCATGCAGCCTTGAGAGAAGTTGCTGACACAATGCATCCACTGCACCAGGCTCTCCCAGAATTCCAGTAAAAGCAGTGAAGCAAGGGTCCTGTTCAGCCCAAGCTGGAGTGCCAGCTGCCTGATCTTTGCTGGAGCTTGGGGGCAACTGCCCTGCTGCCGTCAGATCACGAGGTTCTTGACTCAAAGCTCCCTTGAGGTGCACCCGTGTGGGTGGAACAACTGATGGAGCTGCCTTGGCGCCCTTTGAAGCTGAGCGCTTGGGCACCGGTGTTGCACTTTTTGGAGCTGGTGCTGGTGGCCGAGATGCGTTGCGTACACTTGCTTTGGGCGGAGGTCTCAGTTCTCGCCGCCCTGGTGTTGGGACACCGCTCTTGGAAGAAGGCTCCATTGGAACCGACCTTGGAGTGACCATCACTGGATGCTGTATGACAGTGCGCGGTCCTTGTCCTGGACCCCGAGGAGTCACAGTTTTGACCAGCACTGGGCGGGGTGATGCACATCTTTCAGGCGTGCCCTCGGGAAGCTTGGACTGAAAGACGGGCACGGGTGGCAAACCCAAGGGTGACAACGCACGCTCTTGTGACGGTATTGGACCGAAGGAAGGATGAACTGGGCGAATTTGCACTTGGTTTGGTGCGAGCTGGCGTGGCGAAATTACCTGCTGCACCTGGCTTGGCATGACAGGTGTGTGTGCTTGCCTTGCAGCTATCGGAGGAGACAATGATCTGGGCTGTGCCATGAGCGGCGGGGACACTTGCCCGTCGGCACGACACCCTGCCTGGTGATGCGCCACATGCACAGTGGACAATGTGGGCGATAGGGCTCGTTGAGTGGCCATGGGTGCTCCCAAAGGTCTGCCAGGAGATAGCTCTCGAACAACTACCACCTGATCAGGGCAGAAGCACCCCATTTTCTGTCATAGGAGGCATCCAAAACATTGGGTGTCTAGTACCTACATGGCGTAGCTTCACTCAGACAACCTCAAGAAACAAGAAAATCAAGAAAATACAAGAAACAAGTGCCACACGCGCGCACATGCACGCACACACTCTCTCTCATAAGAACACCCTGGGCCACAAAATCAGCAGCATTGGTTGTGACGTGGCCTGGCCCGGAGCTGCACCATTCACTGGAGCTGCGATGCGCGGAGTGAAGGGCCAAGAACTACTTGGATAAGATGTGCTCACAACTCTCTGGAAGCCTCGCTACTACTGATCAGTCACATGCAATCCCCTGGCCAAAGAAGGAAAAGGACCTGTAGCACACGCTACCACAAGGTATTATTGTCAATCACAGGGACAGAAAATCAAAATAGCTTGCAGATTCCGAGTCTGAGAAGCTTTGTGCACATGGCAGGCTGCCTCCACTGCTTCGGAAGACCCATGCCTTTGGGGCAGCGAACGGCTCTGCAGGCAGGACCATGCTTCTGCTCATCCTCACTGGGGCTGGGCCAAGAGAAGTCCGCGCCTGGACTGGAGCTTGGGTTGTGACACTGGTGAAGCTGGGATGTGCCGTCTGCGCAGGAGGTGGTGTTAACTCCACAGCCTCAGCCTCAGGTTTCAGTGGCCGCAGCTTGGGTTTTCCATCTTCATCCGCAGCTTCCATGGGTCGATCGACAGATTTCACCAGGTGCTGAAAGCTGCTGATCACCCCCAAGAAACCAAAACAAGAGGAGATAGGAGTAACTCGGAGTAACGATGAATAATGATGTGCTGCTGTGCTACATTTCCTCGAACGGCCTGGTTCTGTTTATCCACTGGCTGCAGAATCTGCATTTCTTCTGTGCCTCTAAGCCAAGCGGCTGGATGCATGCAGCTCATGAGATAAATGTCAACATGATGCGCTGCTCACACGTCGATAGTTTAGGTTGCAGCTTCAGAGCTTGCATGATGGCACTACAAGCAACAACCTCATGCCAAGGTACCCATTCAAGAGCAGAAACTGGCAAGGGGCAAGCACACCAAGCCTGCAACAGGCGACGGCAATCTAGTCGGTTCATGTGGGTCTGGTTGGTGCAGCTTTTGTCTCCCGTGTGTCCATGTTCAAGATATATATATATATATATCCAGTAGTGTTGAGTACCCTGGAATTGATTTAGCCAAAACATGTTTCTAATTCAGGATGCGGGTCTGGGACAAATTCGCCCTCTAGACTTGTGGTGGTGCTCGTCACTGGTAGAGACAACTGAGAAGATCTGCAGTGCTTCCAGCTTGCAAAGCTTGTCTAAAAGTTGGTCTCGGGAACACACAGCATCTAGACGTGCAGCAGCATTGATGCTGGAAGACTCTCCATCTATCCACCTCTACCTTCACTAGGTGAAAGTAAACCCACATACTACTCCGCGTGACATCACTGAGCATCTCATAGCATATCTCTATAGTCTATATAGTATATATATATATATGTATATATGTATAATATCTACGGTATGTTACCGTAAGATTATCTAAGTATCATTAAGTATCTATCGTATCAGCTTGTGGAGCCGCGAAGCTCGCCGGCCAGGTCTTGCGCCTCGACAAGGACATCCAAGGTGCCAACGAAAGGGCACTCTGCAGCGCCGACTTCACAGCCCAACTGCCTCACGACCAAAGAGCTGAACCAGAAAGGCAGACTGCGATGTCAAAGGGCAAGCCACAGATGCAAACAAGATCAAACAAGCGGGTGACCTTGCGCAAAGCCTTCGACTGTGACAAACGAACGTCGGCTTCAAATCGATCCCTTGCTCGCCAGCAAAGCTCTGCAGAAGCAAATCGGACAGCAGTCAGCGCTGTGTAGGGCTCATCCTGGTACAAAACTGCCCGGGTGGGGGAGGAGAGGTAGCTAGTAGTAGCTTAATTAGCTACTATATTGACGGACTGAAAGTTAGAATGCGGGTTCATGGACCAAAAT